GGGCTACATGGTCTACATCAACGATGGTGTTTATGGCAACTTCTCCAGCATCATGTTTGATCACCAGCACCCGGTAGCTAAGATCCTCCGATCGAACGGACGCACACTCTACAATACGGCGTCAGCTAACGCCTGCAGCGCTGGCGAGGGAGTCGAATACTCGGTCTGGGGCCCCACTTGTGATGGTATTGATCGCATCAGTGAGAGCATTCGTTTCGAGACTATCCTCAACGTTGGTGACTGGCTATACTTTGAGGATATGGGTGCGTACACCAAGTGCTCGGCCACCCAGTTCAATGGATTCTCCAACTCTCACGATGTCATCTATGTGTGCAGCGAACCTGGGGCCAAGTTTCTTTTGAACATGTAGGCAAGTTCGGCCCATGGCTATTGTCAGGCATCGCATTATTGTGGACGCAAAAGAAATGTTTGTGTGTTTGACCTTCTATGTGGATCGTTTTGGATAGAGTTAAAGAATAGTTTTGATAAACAAGAAAATTTAGAACGACGTCAAGACCACGTTTCACAGTTGCATACATTGAAGTCGCTTTGGCTAATCCTGGACATGTTGTCTGGTATGCGCGCCAACGCAACTGATTGAGCATGAAATGGCTTTCCCTCTGACATGTACCAATGACAACTTGTTTGCTGTTTCCGAATTTTCGTCTTTTGACAATGAGTCCGTAGCTCGAAGCAGGACGAAGAGCGTCATCATGCACGTGCAACAGCAAGGGGCATGTCAATAGAAGGATAAATACATAAAAGTTTACCCGTGTAAGGAGTACCTGGATTGGGAAGGACTTCCCGGCATGGTTGCTTGCCTGACTTGATTTTAGATGCAACCCCTGATGTTTGGTATTTTGAAATGTGCTGAGATGCTTTGCACTATGGTGTGATATGAGTGAGTGACGTAGCTGCCGATAGTGGAGAGAAATTCAAATGGACTGCGGTCTCTCTGCAAACATCACGGACCGATGGATGCCTCAGGCTTGCATCGCTGGGCGGGGTCTCCAGCCAGCATGTTCTCATCCACATGCACAATCCACTTGGGCCACGTTGGAGGAGGTTGCTCTGGTGTGAGGCGGGAGGAGCGAAAAAAAGTGATTGCCCCTCCAAGTGCTCAAAAATGCCAACCCAAACGGATCCGTAAAACAACATCCCCCCTCTTCGAAGCTTCACATTCTCCCCCGTACATCCAAACAATTTCCCACCCAACCACGCTAAGCCCGACAACTCCTTCCCCTTCACATCGTCGATCTTCACATCAATCACAATGGGTTTCACTGATTTCCTCTCCGATGCTGGCCTAACCCGTGAGTTTTTATTTTCACTTGGACGAGCATTGACTGCTGCGAATTTTTGATTTTTTTTTGGCAGTTGTGGCGGGCGGGTGAAGAAACCCCCGCCCCGCCCCCGCCGTCAACTTTTTGCGATCACGAAATTTTCGTTTCAGGACGACGACTTCGTTAGACGATGACAACGGCTTTGCTAACTGCTTTGGCGCCCCATAGTCTTGAACAACTGGGTTCAGACTCGCTCTTATATTGCTGGGTATGTTCCGATTTTTTTTTTCCTGGTTCCTTTCAGTGCTACGTGTCTACGTCTATGCCTCTGAATCTTGTGTCGAGCGGTCTTGGAAGGGACACTTTGTACAGAAATGTGATGCCACTTGCCTCACGTCTTCGAATGCTACAATTCTTCCACAAGACTGTCCATGCCACTTGATTTTGCATCGGCGAAACTTGGCGTGCGCTCTATGGCAATCCAGAGACCTCAATATATACTGTCACAGCGACATCGTGGACAACCCCGCTATTCTGCAGCTCCTTAATTCATGTCTTGTTCGCCGGGCGACCACAGGCCTCTTCTGTACAGTTAAGACTAACCTATTTCCCTTCTGTATAGCTACTCTGCCACCCAGGCTGATGTTGCATGCTTCAAGGCCTTGAAGGAGGCTCCCGACGCCAAGAAGTTCCCCAACGCTGCCCGTTGGTACAAGCACATCGCTACCTTCGAGCATGAGTTCGCTTCCCTCTCTGGCGATGCTAGCAAGCCCTACACCGTCTACGGCCCCGATGTCGCCGAAGTCACTTTGAACCCCGCCAAGGCCCCCGCTGCCGCGGACGACGACGACGATGTCGACCTGTTCGGCTCCGATGAGGAGGATGATGCTGAGGCTGAGCGTGTCCGCGAGGAGCGTCTAGCCGAATACCGCAAGAAGAAGGAGGCTAAACCTAAGACTATTGCCAAGTCTGTTGTCACCCTTGACGTTAAGCCTTGGGGTATGTACACCTCCCGAATACATGATTACGGTTATTCTCCACTGTGACCAAGTGCCTAAATGGCCTATTTTGGTGGCAGAAAGAATACCATTCTCATGTCAGGCACTTGACAGACATGCTAACGCAGAAGATTACAGATGATGAGACTGATATGGTTGGCCTCGAGTCTTCCGTCCGTGGCATTGAGAAGGACGGTCTGGTCTGGGGTGCTTCCAAGCTGGTCCCTGTCGGTTTCGGTATCAAGAAGCTCCAGATCAACCTCGTCGTCGAGGACGAGAAGATCTCCTTGGATGAGCTCCAAGAGGAGATCCAGGATTTTGAGGACTACGTCCAGTCCACCGACGTTGCCGCCATGCAGAAGCTCTAAATGCGTTGATCACCGGAACAAACCACGCATTTTTGACTCAACACTGAACATCACCTAGCAACGACAAATCACCACCATTGCCATAATATGAAATTCCACATTCTCTCTCGTTTGAGATATTAGTTCATGAACCCCATTGCCATGGCGTTATTGATCATATTGTGAGTTAATGGGACGAGTGGAGGGACTTTCAATCGCAAACTTTGGTCTTGTGGCTGTCAGTCTATAACGAAGATCAGAGAAAAATATGAATAAATGCCAAATATGAAAAAAATACCGGGTTCATGAGCGGATTCTTTTTCTGGGAGAGGATGGTAACGACGCCGATCAGTTGTGGAAAAGTTGTTACTTATAGACAAACCTTGTGGAAAATGAAGTATCGTCTCATTTGTTGTGAATGGCCTTCGAAGGTCTTTGTGCATGTGGCTTATTTATTTTCGCTTATTGGATTGGTGTATTCCTTCCAGGTAATAGTCCGAGACTGGGATGGCGTTACTTTTCTTTACCATTTTGCTTGCAAGGTTCAAAGACACCCTGCCCGTAATCTTGGTCCATTCTATGTTTGTTGAATTCATAGCAATTGATAATTGCCAGATCTCTGTAGTACCGCCATTGGACACGAGGTCAAAGAATTCTAGGCCCACCAAGCATATAGGCTGCAGAGTTGGGAGGGAATAATGCGGATCTCATGAGGGACGCTCGCCGCCTTCCGGCCAGCGCCCCATCTCCGGACATTTTGTATACAAGACGTGAGCCTCATTCAAGCCTGCCGTCAAATTTCATCTCTGTCCTTCTTTCTGTGCCTTGCCCGCAGGCAGTTTCTCATTCAAATGGCTTGATATTTTTAAGCTCGAAGCATCACCGTCGCGAACCTGTCACGTGATCCACCATGTCACAGGCGGAGAGTCACTCGGTGGCACATTCAACGGCTTTTTTTTTTTTTTGAACTGCGTGCAGATTTGCTGCCTGTTTGTGGCCATATTCAAAGCGGCCCTCCCCCCCCAAAAAATACCTAGGTATACCGCGCATCAGCGCAATGCATAAAACACCCTGCCGTGCCGCCTGATTCTCATCTCACTTCCACCGCCACTCATCCAAAATGTCCGGCCAGGAAAAGTCTCCATGCCGCATCCTGGTCATGGCCTCTGGCTTTGGCTCAAACTTCCAGGCGCTCATAGACGCCGTTGACGAAGGGAAAACAATACGAAACAGCCAGATCATCCGCCTTGTCACGAATCGAAAAAACGCATACGCCACCACGCGAGCAGAAGGCGCAGGCAAGATGTCACCCTGCCTTTCGGGCTCCATGCATTATCTAACACGACGCCAGGTATTCCTTGGGATTACTTCAATCTCATTAGCCACGGATTTCTGCCCAAGGGAGAAAAAGACGAGCAGAAAATCGCCGAGGCTCGTGAGAGATATGACGCCGCGTTGGCCGAGAAAGTACTATCGGCGGATGATAAACCGCCCGAGCTGATTGTTCTCGCGGGGTGGATGCACATATTTTCAAAGGAGTTCCTGGAACCGATGGAGAGGGCAGGGGCGAGGATCATTAACCTTCACCCTGCATTACCCGGTAAGTCTGCGACTGGCCAGTGCCCGAGGCGTAGCTACTCACAGCTTTGGATAGGGGAGTTTGACGGAGCTAATGCCATCGAGCGGGCTTATGAAGAGCTCACGGCTGGACGGCTAACACGCACTGGTATCATGGCCCATTATGTCATTAAAGAGGTGGATAGGGGTACTCCTATTGTGGTTAAAGAGATTGAGTGGAAGGGCGAGACGCTCGAGGAACTAAAAGACAAGATACATTCCTGTGAGCACAAGCTGATTGTCGATGCGACGGCAAAGGTGGTTGAAGAGATATTGGAAGGGAGGGCAAAGGAAGCCTAAAACCATGCGAATACCCCCCAAGCTGTGAGGGTTTAAGGTATATGTTCCCGCAACAATTTGAGTTCTCAAGTTGGTATGACCCCCTCATAGTAGTGTCATCTAAAATGGGTGTCTGGTTGTTATGGATTGCGTGGGAACTGCTGGCTGCAAGATTGACGCACGAGTCTCATGGATCCTGTAGACACATTCTCGCGGATGAGAACGTCAGCGTGGTTGAAGCAAGACTCATATATCCTTCTCAGCCATGTCGTTCATACGTAAGTCTAAAAAGCACTCAAGTTTAACTACCAAATCTCAAAAACAACCTAGATCCGTGTCCGTTTCATGAATCCGTACTAATACAGTTCGTACTAGTACAGGCAAAACCGCAACTCCGCGCTCTCGGGCCAAAATGCCTCCAATGCCATGCAAAAATTCATGTCAAAAAAATATCTCCCCTCAGCTACTTATGCTCCTTAAGAACCTCTGAACAAAAACTGCATATCCTCAGGACTAAGACTTTCCATGGCCTTGTCGTCTGCATTCACAGTCGAGTGAATCATGTTTGTTTTCTTCTCCTGGATTAGAACCATACGGCTCTCCACCGAGTCTTCAATACAAAGTCGCGTAATGGTGCAAGGGCGGGTTTGGCCGATGCGATGGCAACGATCTGCAGATTGCCACTCTGCGGCTGGATTCCACCATCTGGAAATTCGTTAGTCGATCAGCTAAAGTTGGGGATAGGAGTTGTGCTTACGGATCAACAATAAAGACTCTTGAGGCCTCAGTGAGATTAAGCGCAACACCGCCTGCCTTGAGAGAAACAAGAAAGCATTCCACATCAACGTTGTTCATAAAATGCTCAATGGAAGCCTGACGCTGCGCGGGTGTCATAGAACCATCCAACATGACGGTCGTAATACCGGCCCTGCGTAGTCGCCACTCGATAAGCTGCAGCATGGTTGTAAACTGAGAAAAGATAATAGACTTGTGGGATGCGTTGTCTGAACGGAGTTTGTGCAGCTCGTGGACGAGCAGTTCAATCTTGGAAGATGAAGTCCAATTCTCCATCTTAATTCGGTTAATAATCGAATTCTTCTTGACCAAGTTTTCGTCCTGCTCAATCTCGGGCTGTTCGAGGTCTATCGACAGAGGTATATGACAGCGAGGACAGTCAGGAGCATCCGTTGATCCAATGTAGCTAGAAACACAGGCTCGGCAAAAGTCGTGTTTACATCGACTTCGGATTGTATCCTCTGCTGGCTCGTCGCAAATGCTGCAGATCAACACGTTTTGTCCACCATCAGCATTCTTCTTCAAGATCAAATCAGGGTGATCTGCCACCTGTCTCATTTGCATAATAAGGCCAAAAATGTTGGCGTAATTGTTCAACAATACACCCTGGGCGACGTAGGTGTCGAAGTTGCGCTGGCCGTTAGTCATAATACTATTAGCGAAGTCGTTCTCTTCTTCACCAAAAAACTGTCTTTCGACATAAATTTCCTTGACAGGCAGTTCCATAGAGTCGGTATGGTCTCTCTTGAGACGACGCAACATGATACGCTCCGTCATCAACCGAAGCTTGCGAAAAGCCTCCCGACCGGGTCCAAGATTACCAAACTTTTGAATTGGGTTAAGGAGCTCTTGGTTGAAGACGGACACATGCTGCATGCCTGCATGATTGCAATGGGAGCAGCGACTATTCTCGTCCATCGCCCACTCGGGAGTTGAGCAGGGGCATTGTTTGCAGAGATAAAGAGCAAAAGGTCTAATGTTCAAAAATCGTATCAATGAAAAGAATTCTCCGATGCGGTTTTGCAACGGAGTTCCGGTCAGACACCAGCGATATGTCGTTCGAAGGGCAAAACAAGCTTTGGCGGTCATCGTTGTTCGTGTCTTGATGCTGTGAGCCTCGTCTAGAATGGCTCGGTGGAAATGAATTGAATGAATGACACTTTTTTCCTTGTGGATGCCATTTTTTCGCTTGAAGCCTTTTTCTTGCTTTCGGTACATTGATTCCAAGCTGTTGTACGACATCATAATCACATCGTATGTCTTGAGCTCTTTAGCGGTGATAGTCTTGGCCTTTTGATTAGTTCCGTGGAAGACAAAAGTCTTCAGAGTACCATCCGTATACGATTTTATCTCCGATTGCCACTGCATCAATGCGACTGGCGGCACAAGAACCAATGACGGTTGCTTAGCTGGGTAATCGGACATAATGAGCGAGACAGCTTGTATAGTCTTGCCGAGACCCATTTCGTCACCTAGTAATCCGCCCTTCCATTCTCTCTTTTCCATTTCTTTCATCCAAGCAAGTCCTTCCAGTTGGAACGGTTTCAGTTGTCTAGAAATGCTTTGCGGCTGTGGAGCCATCCCAGCCTTGAGAATGGGCATATTTTCCAAGTCTTTCCACATGGTAACAATCTCTGGATGGTGATACTCAAGGCGATCACGTTCCTTCCTAAGGCGTCGCGTGTTGCCCGACCTGTACGCTCGGCGGTTGGCAGCAATTCTTCGTAACTCTGACACACCCTCCTCAGCGTCACTAGAGTTGGAAGAGCTCAGGCCAGCAGAGACCGAGGATACAGTGGACATATCCGAAGCGATGCTAACGACTTCTTCTGCGACATCATCATCGTCCGAGTCCTGGACGACGTCCTGTGCTCGGTTACGTCTTATAGCAAGGTTTGGTTTGGAACCAGTCGCTGCTGTTGATGGCCGACCTCGTCTGGTTGGCATCTTGGCCTTTGACGACAGGGTTCTTGGTTTTTGTGGCTGCTTGCCTTTCTTCTTAACTGAAAGAGGTTCATCATCCGAGAAAGCATCAGAAGTGCCACCGTCTTTATCCATCGCAGCTTCATTAACCTCGTCTGAATCAGTAAATCTCGCTTCGCCTTCCGAGAGTTCAGGAGGCTCCGAGAGTTCACTGTCCAGTGCAGCGGCTGCTGCGATTTCTGCATCCATGTCGAAGTCAGATGTTGGAGGGTCGTCTGAATCTGGTATTATTCTGCTCTTCTTTGCTGGTGGAGCCAGTTGCATGGATAGCCTAGTTGAAGCTCTGCCTCGCTTTGCAACTCCGCGTGTGGGTAAAGGTGAGGTGGTAGCAGTCACAGCACGATTACTCCCAGAGAGCGACGAGGACCGCAAAGCTCCTTCATCAGCTTTTGCAAACTCTTCATCCTGCAATCTACGGGCTATCCTGGCATCCCACCCTGTATCAGAGGAGTCGTCATCTTCCTCATCAGAATTGACAATTTCAGTCAGTTTTCTATTGGCCTTCATGGAGTAAATGCTATTTCTGAGTGCTCGTTCGCTGTCAGAGTCGTCGGCACGAGACCTGGCAGGTAGCCGTACTTCCAATGACGCAAGGGACTTCGAAGCTTCAACAGACAATGACCCCTCAGCAGTTAATGGTGTGGGATTCTTGCTAGTAGCAGGCGTAGAGTATTCGGCATCAGAAGACAGCTCCTGTGGTGTAGCGGCGGAAGAGACAGATGTGCTGCCGATTGCTGCTGCTCTGCCCCGTCGTGGTTTAACCCCACTATAATGAGAAGGTGAGGATGATGAAGAAGTTGTGATCGCACTAAGAAGGGAAGCACGAGATGGTCTTCCTCGAGGTCGCCTAACTGGCTGTGTTGAGTCGCTGGAGACGACGATTTCATATCCATTGGCTGGCCTGGATGAAACTGATCTAGTCCGACGGGTGCCATTCACATCAGGCGATTCTGTATCGCCTGTCAGAAAAGGAATCAAGCCCAAATCGAATCACACCGGATGCTTACCAGAAACCTCTAATAGTGGCATCCCGCCGGCTTGAAGAGAGCGGCGCCCGCGAGGCATTGTGTTGGTGCACCCTCAGCCTAGGCTCTGGTGGCTAGACTTGGCGAGACAAAGTACCAACCAACCTATCTATGATGGCAAGTGAAGAAGACAAAACTGGACTGAATTGTTGCCTTGTATGCTGATCCTGTAGGAGACAGACAAGAATCTACCAAAGCACTTCGACGTTTTGACACGGTGCAAAGACGACAGAGTTGCAAACGCAGCCCGAGGAAAAGAAAGAAGAGTCAACTGGTCTGTGGCCCAATTGCTTGGCTAGCAACACGACGTTGCCTGGACTCGGGAGAAAAGGACAATAGGGCCAACAGTCTTCAAGGACGCTCGAGCAACGGAGGGGGGTTGTCAAAACCATCAATGAATCTGCAGTTCTTTGTTGCTCCTTTTTTCTCCACAGGTGCAAACTGCCAGGAACGAATCTTTGCCACCGAGATGTTGGGTGATGGGATTTTCCCGCCGAAACGCCCTCCGTGACTTGCGGCTGCCATTCACAGTGCGCTCAGTTCACTCTTAGTTCGCTCGACGCCTCCCAAAGCCACGGCGCTTGCCCGCGTTGGCAAGGCGAACACGAAAGCACGTGCTCAGAACCAGGGGTTAAATAGACAGTGCTGGCCAGATATAGCACGGTACTAATCATGTTTTGCTCTGCACATTTCTAGCAAGTCTGTGCATGACTCACAGTGCCAGATGTTTTCAATTAATTTTTGAACGCCACTCACCTGACACCGTGTTAGCTGCGCGGATGCACAGAGGCACGTTCCAATTGGCACTGGGAGACGAAGGGCGAATTGAACGGACAGACCTGCGTGCGATGCAGGTTGGTCTGAGTAAACTTGCCACCAGCACGGTCTGGCCCAACAATTCACTACCACGTTCCTTTTATCAAACTCTTCTGTGTCGATTCTTCCAAGAGGTTTCTTTTTTCGAGCTTCATCCACCATGTAAGTCAAGCCAAACCTGTTCGTTGTGTCGCAAACAACTGATATGACGAGCATCGAAAATTGACATGAATAAACAGGACTCGCCGGAGTCAAGCACAGAACCAAGCGAATGGTGAAACTCAAAGACCAATACGCAATATTACCGGACCGTAAGACCATTTCCGCCTGTACTTCCATGCCACTTTCCCCCCTTAGGGCTAACCCAGCCAACACAGTCAGTCTGCCCTGACGGATTTCCTCGCTGTAAGTACTATACCTTTTGTATCAAAACAAACCTCCACTAACACCGTCGCAGAGTCACAACATTTCCGCTCGGCAGATCCGAGATGATGCAGAGCTGCGACGCCAGCAAGCTGCTGCGCAGGCTCGTCAAAACGGAGAACAGTTGACTGAAGAGGTCGAAGTTGCCGTTGCAGAGTCAAGTGCCGCTGGTAGCAGGCAGCGGGCCAGTCGCAATGAAGCTGGAACCCAAAAATCAAAGCGCAAGACGCAAGAACAGAAGGCCATCGAGAAAATCAAGGCGAGCAAGGCCTTCAAAAAGCGCAAGAAGCAGGCTGACGATTCCGGCGACGATGACGAAATTGCTCGCGCTATCTTCGAGTCGAGCCATGCGCCCCTCCCCGGCCAAATGGAAAATTGTGCAATATGTGAGAAGCGGTTTACTGTCACACCCTATTCCGTGGCAGGCCCGGATGGCGGTCTCCTCTGCGCGCCATGCGGGAGGGAGACGGCAAAGGAACGCCAGGGTGGTAAGCCGAAGAAGAAGCCGAGAAAGCAGACTGGCGGAATCGGTTCCCGACGAAGCATTCAGAGTCGAATTCTCGATGGTGACGTTGGCACAAAGAGTCTTGCTACCCTTTGCGTGCAAACCCTGGCCAAAAACGTCGACATGGCCGACAGCTTGGGAGATTTGCCTGAGCATCTAATTGACAAGATTGCCCGGATTTTCTCCAAGAGACGATTATTGCGCCCTGAAACGCTACCTCTGTTTGCACAACCCACAACGGAGACGATACATATCTATGATGGTGCGAGACTCGGTGACCAAGACTATATCAGCATCTTTCAGGTTTCTCCCAAGCTGCGTCGATTCAAAGCACGGTCAGCCATCCAGTTCAAAGATGGAGTCATGGACTATCTCTTGTCTCGTGATATTGCCCTAGAGAGCTTCTATCTACACGGTGCAAATCTTCTCAGCGAACAGAAATGGCATGAGTTCTTTAGCACCAAAGGCCAAACTCTCAAAGGTGTTCAAGTTTACTATACCGACAGGCACTTTGGCGACGACACAATTGTTACAATGGAAAATCATTGCCCCAACTTGCTACGTCTAAAGATAGAGAACAACCAAAAAGTCACAGATAAAGGTGTCGAAGCGATAGGAAACCTCGCTTCGCTTGAACATATCGGCTTGCAGCTTCAAAATAGTCCCTCGCCCGGAGCCATCAATGCTGCGGTTTCCAAAATCGGTCACAACCTAAAGACCCTCTCCCTCAAAATCGTCCCCGATGCTGATGACACTGTTCTCCAAACTATTCATCAACAATGCCGCTCTCTAGCCAAGCTTCGCATCACCGACAGTGAAAAAATGACTGACGAAGGATTCGCGAATCTTTTCACAAACTGGAACAACCCACCTCTTCAGTTTGTAGATCTTCAAAAATGCCGATATATTGATGCTAGCCAACCGCGTACAAACCACAATAATGTCGGTCTTTGTGACGAAGGCTTCAAAGCTCTTATGGCACACTCTGGCCAGGGTCTAGAGGATTTAAACGTTCATGCTTGCAGACATATTACGAAACAAGCATTTGAGGACGTTTTCTCCGAGACTTCAACTTACCCCGAGTTGAAGACGTTAGAGATCAGCTTCTGCGAGGAGGTGACTGATTTTATATTGGGGTGTATTTTCAGGGCCTGCCCCAAGATCAAGGAGGTGAATGTCTTCGGATGCATGAAGGTCAAGGAGGTCAAAGTCCCGCGCGGGGTTATTCTCGTGGGGGTGCCGAATGCCCAGGGGATGATGACAGAGGGCGTGGACTGAGTTTTTTGTTAACAGTACTTGCCCTGTATCGCGGAGTTTATGTGACAATGCTGCAAGTAAGTTCAGTGTGGTGGTAATGGTACGGAGTTGATACAGAGTATAGAGTTACAAAGGTCAATGTATCTCCCGTCGGTCTTGTCATTTTTCTTTGTCTGGAATTTATACCAGACGGTTTGTAAAATAGAAAGGGCCCTCTGAGCCGCCATGCTAGATTCATGCTATAAATGCAATCGCTATATGCTATACTGAAACAATAGAGAGATGGCTATTCTTGAGACATGTCCCAAATATTGCTATCAATATGTACCAAGAAGAGTATAACATGTACAGATATAATGGTAAAGATGAACTCCCCAAAAGAGCAGGTGCCGAGGAGAGATGTACCTACTAGGTAGGTAGTTGGTAGAGTCGAGTGTATCGTCTCCACAACAAAACAGTACTTAAGTAAATGACGAGGAGAGTTCTCGGCTCATGCTCGCCTGGCTATACCCGGAACAAAAAATGATGTCGGATACTTTCTGTCCTTGGCATGCATACCTTGGGCTCTAATTGGTATCCACAGACAAGGTACTACTCCATAGAGCCACATGCATGGTGGATAGTATAATAACCCCGTATTTTATACGGCATCGGTTGCAGATACCCCAGTTTGCGTCGGTAGGTAATGAAGAGTGGCACATGACTCTCTAGATGTCATTTTCCTCGACAAACTGCTGGTCCTTCTGACTCCAAGCGGTAAGACGGTCCTTGAGGTCCTGAGGCAAAGGATCCTCCTCCTGGCCATCTCTCAGCCTCAATGGGGAGGCGGAGCAGCCACCGGTGTAGCCGAGGTAGTACAAATGGGCAAGGATGTCGGTGATGAAGCGGCTAGCATTGCACTTGATGTTGGCGATGCCCTTGCAGACACGGATTTCGGAGAGGTCGTAGACTGTCTGGAAGGCATCCCCGCCCGACAGCCAGTACTCCGGGGTGACGTGCCGATAGCCGGTGAAGATGGGGGGAAGACGGGGCACAGGGTCGTTCTCGTGTGTGACCCGCCAATGCCGGCCCTGCTGGCTGGAGAACCAATTTGCAAACTTGTCGTTGCCCACGCGGGGGGCGCCATATGTATACAGATCAATTGGGATACCGTCGCGGCGGAGGTAGGCTGTGCTAATGATTGCGACGGCCGCCCCCAGGGAGTGGCCAGTTATTACAACTTTATAGCCGGGGTTCTTCTCGCGAGCAGACTTGATGGCTGCAGAAGCAGCGTCCTTGATCTCATCCCAGGCCTCGGCGAAACCGGTATGGAGTTTGCACTGGTGTGCGAGATCGCAGCTGCGCCAGGCGAAGATGACGTCGGTGATGTAGTTGCGAATGTTATTGCTGCCACGGATAGAAAAGATGACCTCCTGGCGGATAGAGTCGATGGCTACGTAGGCGCCGATCCCGGTAAGCCGGCCACTAGGACTATGTTAGGATAGAAACTCCATAGCAGTATTTGAGGACATGTGGAAAACGCAACGACTAATAAGAGGTGTGTGGATTGTGTACACGAGGACTTACACCATGGAGGCTATCACGACAGGTTTGTTCTGCATGACAAGAGGGCATGCCGTGTCTTTACACACAATGGGCTTTCCAACAGCCGTATTGTAGTTGCAGTATGCAGCGGCAGAGTGCTGAGAGTAAAACTTCATGTTGGTAAGATCCGTTTCGGAGACCTGGACATTTCCCCCTAGAAATATTGTGTAAGTCAAAGCCAAGAGTCTCAAGAGAGATGAGCCATGAACAAACCTCTGGTCTCAAGAGTATTCCCATAATCGTCTGTGGCAATTGGTTTCGCGGCAACAACGGCAGCAAAAGCAAAACCAAGAACGATATTTAACAACATCTTGTAAATGAGCTAAAACAAGATGGCACTTTCGACAAGGAGCTACCCAAGATGGCACTTGCGAGTGCAATAAACGGTAAAGACGAGGCTACTCTGTCGTCTTTTACTCCAAAACTCATAATGTTTGTGGAAAACATGATGGTCTTATACTCCTCACCATCCCCCCTTCACGATCAATTCTCACTCACAAGTCCATCTGGCGGGTACCCAGCATAGGCGTCGTCGTTTAACCATGGCGGAGACGTTGGAAATCAATAATCCAAAAACCCCCAGTTGACGTTCACCGCCTGGGTGTTCTGCGTCAGCACTTGCACAGCGTCTCTAGCTTCGCGGCTCCTCACGGCTCTCCATGTTCATTCCCCCGCGCTGGGCATGCAAAGAGGGAGAGTTGAGTGACACTTCACGCCCCTCTCTCAGCACTATATTAGGATGGTCCTTTTGTGGAGAGGCATCAAAATACCAAATGATTTGCTGACCCCAGTCTCTGTCTCTCCATTGTATGCCAGTGATTCACGGGGTAGAGAAGAAAGCGAACGGCAACACTTCCCGGACAGGAATAGATGCCATGCCACGATAGGCCTTGGCCGGGATATGGAGCTCCAAATGGCAAGTCGGTCCGTTTCCCGTGCCAGCGCCCTGCGGTCCATCAGCAATGGAGGCCAGAAGCAGACTTGGGATAGGGAAAAAGCAACCTTTGGCGAAACTCGGGGCGATGCCGTGTTACGACCCGACCTGCGAAGGGGAGATTTATGGGGACTGGAGCAACCCTCCTGGTTGCCACCAGCCTTTCTTGGCATCATCGTATGTACAACCTCATCTTGAGTTGCAAAATGGAAAAAACCCGGGCTGGAAAATTCAAGGCACACCACCGAGGTGGTAGCCATTAATAAACAAGGATTATGGCCAGTCTTGTCTGGGGCAAATATGACAACCAGGGATGACAAGTGGACCGGGTATTTTGTGGGTCATTAAGGGCGACCTGGAGTGGTTGTGGGCCGTGGCTGAGCTCAATGGGAACGGGGAGATGTCCAATATCTCATGCATGGGGCAGGGCAGGTACGGGCCGGCTTGGGTCATGCGGTTTGAGAAATACCAAGGGTCTGGTGTAGCAGGCGAGGCATAAATACCTAGGTACTTAAAGTAAGTAAGAATAAGATGGCTCACACTGAGGCTTACATGTACTCCGTAGTGCTGGTACATCCCTTCGAATGTGCGCAGGTCCAATTTTTGTAACGGACCAGGGTTCTAGCTAATAGTAATTACTTATTTAAAAGATATATATACTTAAAAATTATAATTTTTAAAGATACTTAAGTATATAAAAATATATTAGTTATTATTACTAATAAAAAAGTATTTTTAAGTATCCTTAAGTATCATAAAAAAAGTGGGTTAAATACATCAATTGGACCTGCGCACATTCAAAGGGATATTCTTGTCATATTTCACTTCACCCCTGGTGTCCTCGCGGCTTCACCAGCCGCTCATCCTACATAAGTGTGCCAATTACCAACTGACAAGTAGTATCGACTTGGGCATGCAGCTGTCAGAGGCCCAACCCTGCATTTTGAGGCTTTGAGAAACGGACATCCTGACGGGGTTGTGGGATGAAGCGAGGCGAATTCAAGCGTCTTCGATTGGCCAATGCCGGCCCTTTTTTGAACTTGATTTGCGCAGCTTAATCCACACACAGCCCAAAATTACCACCGTTGACATTTGGATCGAAACATGCCACGTGAATTCGTCCACTACTTGACGCTTCAACTAATCACCGCGTCTTGGGTTTCTTTTGCCTCTTCAAAACCCATGTCTTTCCCACGATCACACGGAGCGCTGCGGAAACGGGCAACAAATCCTCGTTGAGCATCATGTCTCCAAGATGCCTCGGCTCAATTGCTCCCCTTGGTACCCCTATAGAAGGCATTCTCCCCACTGCTCAACATCTTGTAATGGAACACCACAGAACCATCGATGCTATAGTCAACAGTGTTAAAGCCTCTGATGCAACATTTTTCAATGTCCTACTCCCCATTTCAAAATTAGAAAATAAGCAATCGGGTGAAAGAGCAATTATCTCTGCTCTTTGCTACGCGTCTCCTGACGCCGAGACTCAACGCGCCGTTGAAGAGGCAGAAAAGTTATGGCTCGAATATACAAATATAGTATAGTAGTAAAGCGACCCGACTTATCTAGGCTCATACAATCTGTTAACAATAGCAATATCTTGCTGGATTCTGAATCCAGTTGGCTTATCAATCGAACGCCCTTGCGATATGAGCAATGTGGGTATGGGAAGCTGGACGGAGACGACATTCGAACTTGGCCTAATAGGAGCCCCAAAATTGAAGAGCTGTGCACTGAGTTTAATCCAAGTATTCGAGAATATATTCCAGCCGACATACTTTTCACAAAAGAGCAACTTACAGGTGTGCCTGACAAAGAACTAAAAGGCCTCCCTTTGCATAATAGCGGCAAACGGCAAGTCCAGTTGTGAGTGGACAAGTATTGAACACTTTTACGATGTGCTTGAGACTCCAAGACAAGAAGACGCATCCAACTTGGCAGATACTTTAAAAAAAAAGACCTTGTATTCAGAGAAATTGTCTTGCTGTGTAATGAGAACGCGACGGCTTCGGTATAAAAGCCATGCCGAATCCCGATTACCCTATAAGGGCCGTGAGGTTCAAGACTTGAAGCGAGTCACGTTCGACTCCTTTGACAAACTATATCATGATCGACTTCTTGATGAGGAGCGACACATCAAGCACGAGGAGATGAAGGAGTACTGTCCACTCGAGTACACACTTCCCACCTTTTGGATATTTATGCTGAATACTTTCAATTAAGCTATGGAAATTTAGACAAGACATATCTGGCGGATCATGTTTGGCATCACATGTGATAGTGTGGGCTGTATGGGATAAAAGACCAACAAGCGAGGCGGCATTCCTCGGTTATCTGTACGCTGATATGGTGGAACGGCCGAACAAGTATAAGGGAAATTAATGTGTTTACCTTCAGTTGGTATGGTAATACAATGACCCCGGGTATGAAGACGATTTGCTAAAACCGCACAGTGCTATGAAGACGCGGACGGCCACCGAGTGTACCCAGCGACGACACTTATGTGCCACTTTTCACTGTCAAGTATACATAATCTTGTGGTTCTAACGCACGCACATGTAAAGACGGTCTTTCACGGTACGGGTATCTACGAGGGATACGGAATATCGCGTCGAATCAACAAACGCCGGCTTAAGAACTCGGCCACTGCATGCATGACCACTTGAGTAGACACAAATTCGTCAAGCTACACGCTTTAGAAGGCAGCGTAGACTTTGGCGAAGAAGGCGTTGCCAACATGCTTGAACGGTGGTTATGGATGAAAAATGTCCTCATCAAAGTCAGCTGCCACTACACACTTGGACGAGACGCATATGGACGCCTGGGCCCAAGAACACCCCAATTTGCCAGCTCCGCCACAAAGGAGTCCAGATAAACTGACAGACCTGAAAGTCGAGCAACGACAAGAAGCCACACTTGACGCGTGTAAAGCGAACTGCTCGTATCGTGTATCGCGTCTGACTTCTCCATGCTTACAAACTGTGCTGAGCCTTAGCATCTTTTGATTTCGCCATTCACAACCCCGCAAGCCGCGATGCATTGCTCAAAATAGATTTGTCCGGTGTCAACTTGAGAATAGATGAAAAGTACCACTTCAGTCGAAGGCTAGAGGCATCCTTTCCGTACGCTTCTTGTACACACCTCATGTCGGGATACCATGCGGGTTACTACGCCTACGTGCTGTGACTTCAAAGTCATACATGAGGTGTTTATTGCTATATTAACGATAGACGATTAGCGCACGAGTTGTTGCTACAGACTCGTTTGAATCTACCTTTTCCGGCGATCCGTTCAGGTACGAAGCTTGGGACAGATTCCGAAATGTCATCCTGAAACACGGAGCTAGCCAAGACCAACGCCGAATTCTAAAAGACTTTCTGGGACGGCCTACTAGCACAGACGTCCTTCTTTTAAGTCTTGGTGTCGATTCAGGATAAGAGTTTCTGGCTATCCGGAGCGGCAGTTCGGGATTGCATGGGGTTGAGGTTGCGGTGGATCTGAAGTTGGCTCGGAACAGGGATATTGTCGGATCGGACTCGGATCGTTCTCTCGATGGCTGAGAGGGCAGTTCAGACTACCTGATTTGTATTTGCCGATTTCTAGACCCGTTAGTAGGGAGTGCTAGGTCTTCGGAGGTTTCACATTTACACCATGTCCGTAATGCGACCGTAGCGCGACAGACAGGTGCAACGTGTAGCCGTCAACTTCAGTATACGGCAGGCTACATTGCTGAGGGAGTGTAGAGTTCAAGCACATATTCCTCTCAAAGTATAATAGCTGAATGTGAGTGATATTACGGCACAGTCTGCTATTAACGTATTTTCCGTGCCAAAGCTCACACGCATAATGGCAAAATGGTATGAGAAAATGTCGGCCAGTTACTGCATTCGCGGTAAGGAGCCTGACATCACGTATCCGGCGGTATGTGCTCCTGGCAGCTTGAATTCCATAAATTTTCCATTGTCAATCTTGCCATCTGTAATAGCGGTAGACTTTCCCTGCAGCCAGCAGATTTTATTCTTGTCAATTGTGCACAAGCCAACGCGAAAAGGGTGATGGCGACCCTCGGAAATCGCATGGATACTAGTGAGGAGATTACCTGAGGTGGTCAAGAGTACAAGTTTTGGACACACACTTTGTTTACGACTTGGATTGACCTACTAAGTGTTGCGAGATTGAAGATACAGGAACATACCAACCTCTTATACAGCCCGGGATTGCACAAATACAAACATGTAACTAGAAGTTGGATCTAGATCTGTTCATGTTCCAGACATGGATCAAGAGCTCAGGCCTTCCGGTTATGGCAGGTGGAGAACAGTGAAGGTGTGGAGCTTCAGATCCGTTGCAGAGACCGGAAGGAACGAGTTGATGTC